CAACATGCACTGGAAACAAGTCTGACTTACTACCAGCGATGCGAACCAAGCTCCTGCTCCGATCGTACAGGGACCGGGTGGCCCTTAGCAAAGGGCCCCGGACCCCGTACTCCCGGAGCACCCCCCACAGGGCGCTGCGAGGGACACGGTTGAATGCCTTTTCCAGATCCACGAAACACATGTGGACAGGTTGGGTAAACTCCCATGAACCCTCCGCCACCCTGAAGAGGGTATAGAGCTGGTCCAGTGTTCCACGGCCAGGACGAAAACCGCATTGTTCCTCCTGAATCCGAGGTTCGACTATCGGTCGAATTCTCCTCTCCAGTACCCTGGCATAGACTTTCCCGGGGAGGCTGAGGAGTGTGATCCCCTTATAGTTGGAACACACCCTCCGGTCCCCCTTCTTAAAAAGGGGCAATCCAATAGTTTGAAAGATAGGGGATCAAATCACCACCTCTGCAAAGGAATAAATACAGTGTTAAATAGGAAGACTGTCACAGTCAGTCACTGTGGCCACAGGGTACCGTTAGTCAAAGTCCAGAATCCAAAGTCAGGTTGGTCCCCTCACGGCTAGGATCTGCCTGTTCGTCTATCCTTCCGATTGCCCCCCACTGACCAACTCTGCTCCTCACTCTGTTCCCATCTCTTGCTTCTTATCATTGTTTCCCCAGTTGCATCAATCTTTAAATGTTCCTTTTTAGGAGATGTTAGATGCTAGATGCTTTGAATAGCTGGGAGTCAGGCGCCCAGCACCCTCTTGAGAGCAGCACATGCACTTCTGGAAGCATACAAGGTCAATGCCTTGGCGACTGTTACACAACCACTTTCTTAAACTCACACTATATCCCTTTCTAATGTGTTTTACTTCACATTACATATTATACATTATCTGTTACTATATTCTGTTTGTTTCTAACCACTACAGTAGCCTGAGAGAAAAAAGGGTGAAACAGTAAGGGGGTTCTGTGGTGTTAAGCATTTGCACATGGTTTGCCCATCTGCTGTTGGGTTTGTTACAGGTCCATCTGACAGAACAGTAACATATCAACAGTGGAAAAGCCCTACTGTACACAAACTACGGTGCATGTGTTACATGTTGTAACACCTTAATCTTAGATTATTGTAAAAGTTTATTTATTAAGATGTAATCTGTTCAATTATAGCACATAAAAATCTGATTTGCCATCAGCTCAACTGTTGATTTGATTTTGATTTGATTTATTCTTTCAAACATGCAGAACAAATGACATCAACACACACACATAATTACACAAGCCAAACACTGCTAATCAAGAATCAGTTTGTTTATACCAGCACATGTTTGAATGGAGTAGGAAGAAGTCAGACTTATCCAGTCCTACCCCAGAACATCATCTTATACAAAAAATTTCATGCATCATTGGCTGCAAGCAGTATCTCTACATAGTTGATTCTCTTCTTCACCAACAAGTAATACACAGAAAACTTAAAACAGAGTGATTCCTTCATGATTTTTGATTAAATCTCTAATTCTTGCATATATCTTGAATGACACATACATTTATATTTATATTTAAACTCTTCAGTTGTAGTACTGTTTTTCATGTCCACACTTAAATCATTCCATAATTTGACCCCACTTATAGAAATACAAAATCTTTTTTTGGTTGTACGTATAGCATGAACTTTTAGATTTAACTGACCCCTTAAATTATA